AATAAAATTATTCCACCATGATTATCATATTGAATATTGTCGAAATTTCATTGCCCATGGAAGAAAGTTCTCTTTCAGAACTACTTCTGTGACTAATATGCAACACATTTAAGATGACTAATCTCTTGTCGCTACTTTCTGCTATGTGTATCCAAATATTAAAGGATCCTTCTATAAACTAAATCGTTGTATGATAGAAGACCTGAATTGTATGGAAAATTACTCGTCTAAATCTTTTTCCTCAGATTTTTCTTCTTTGAATCACTCATGAGTTGTATTTTCTCAAGAATAAGGGTCACAAAGAAATACATGAAAAACTGATACCTTAACTACAAGAAATGAAAAATAAAATTTCTTCGCAAAAGAACAGCCTCAATTTTTAGTTAGTGTAAAAACGAGAGAGAAAGCGAGAATTATAGACACTGGAAGAATAAGAGAACAATTAATATTAAATTTCATAAGTATTAGTAGTAATCTACTGTCAGTGATTATATGAAGTGGGAATAAAAAATATCGTATACCCTTTTTCCAGTGATGACAATTCAAATTTTTATTAAACTGACAGTTCTAATGATGCTTCAAATGTTTAAATTAATTGAACCATTGATCAATATGAAATGAATTACTATGTTTATTAAAGTATTATCAGTTATAATTTGAAGAAGCCAATGAGAGTGATACTGAAGAAATGATATTGGCAGAAGAGTAAAAACAGAAATTTCTCAAAAGTCCTCAAAAACAGCAACATAAAAGAGCTGCGTTGAGAACCATTTACGAAAAAGTGAAATTAAATTGTTATTCATTTTTGTTGATTTTATAGTATAATCATAATGTAACAATGAAGCTACAATAACGATATTCGATCCAATATCAATGAGTACTCTTATTAGAAGATCAATAGCAATAAGAGACCCCTGAAAAACACTTTTACATTATAAAATAAAAGAAGACGAGGAATTTTTGAAATGCTTGGTGTCTTTAAACATTTTCTATGCTTCATTCAACATATAACCATGGGGTGTGGATGTAAATGGAAAAAGAGGACGATATCGACCGTCACACTCACACCCCGTAAGTAAATACTCGTTCATGTCTACATGAAAAGCTCGACACTTCGCTTTCATCGTCAATTGACAAATCTGATATCTATGTTCAAAATAAAGCAGAGAAAAATTGTCTCGATTCCAAATAGAAATATACATCAATATGGATCGACCATATTCATTTAGTTCAACAACAAAAATATATAGTTTGTATTAGTGAGATAGTGTCACGTGTAGTAAAATATTGATCCGAGAGAAGAGAACGGCAAGGGTTGCTTTTTGAATACTGATTTGTCACAAAAAGAGCACATGTTATCAATGAAAAAAAGCACAGATCTTTTTGAAAAGAAAAAAATCACCGAAAACTCTTTCGTTATTTGAACTATTATTATGTTGTTTTTCACCGTTGCGCAATGTCGCTATATTGCTTTTTACTGAAAAGTTTGTGTCTAACGTTTTTCGTTAAATAGGCGTGATATCTTAGAGCTTGGTGTTTTTGATTTTGAAGCTTCATATGTGAACACTCTACTGTCGCTGTATGTAAGGAAGACGAGAGATTAATTTAAGTTTATTGCTATATATTTGAATCATAATTAAAAACTGTGTTGCACAAAAGCTAGGCAAAGTTTTCACGCATTGTTCACGAGTACTTTCAGTGGCTATTAATAATTTCGTATCAGTCAGATTTCATATTTCACGTTTATATCGGAAATTCATGCATCAACACATCCTAGAAAGAACTTCTATTATTCATTTGCTTCGATCAAGATATAGATTTGTCTAAAGCGTGGTTGCTGCAATAAAAAAACTTCATTAGTCATAATATGTGTTCTCATCTGCTTGGCAAAAGCCCACGATTTTTTAAAGGACATAATGATTTAATATATGTGTTGTCGAGGCACAGATAGATAAACATACAGATGGAACAAATTAACTATGCTGTCGATACCATAGTTTTTTGGCCAAGAAAATATTACACATGTGTACAGTGACACAGAGCGAGGTCTACGCCATTCGAAACTTCTCTTCAACTATTGAACAGCCATCTTATTTCCAAATATATTTTTGAAATGAATGAAGTAAAACACTGATGTATCTTACCTGATCAGTGATAACTTCGTTGACCTCTTTGGGTTGTTTTAAAAGTTTCTTTACATTTAATGGAAATGCATCTTGAATTATACTTATACACAATCTGAACTGGTAAAAAAAACCCAGAGAAGCAAAAATGAAATCTATAGTTCATTGATTCACTATTGTCAAAGAGGTTTCACTAAATTCTGGCAAGGATCTCAATGCCAAGTGTCCTTTTTGAGTTCATTTACATCTTCACCCACACCCAAAAAACATGCTCTATTATGTTACATGAATAAGTATATTCTATAAGCAAATGCAAGACCAATGCTGTTAAAATTTGCAGTACTCTTTACATACAATGAAATTGCATTAGCAACATAATTTTCTTTTACTTCTGAGAGGATGTGGATGTGGCTCTTCTTTTTTTCTACACCCACACCCACACTGTCTACACACTGATTCAACTTTGTTTGATGAAGTTTCTGGAATACAAAAATTACAGTCGTATGCAATTGTAGTTAGGTATACATACATTGAGAGACTAAGATTTTCAATAAAGTTTTGATTTTATTGATCTCTGGTTGGTTTAAAAGAAATGACTGAATGATCAACTTGTTTGGCATTGCATATCGCATCATAAGTCCTACTGAATTCATTTAAACTTTCACAATGGTAAAGCACTTATTTTCAGTCGATATACGACAATGGTGTTTAATCACAGCTGAAACATATACAAATTTATTTTATCAGAAAACATTTGATTACTAAGCATTGACAGAAAGGTTTCAATAAATTATCTATTTAAGAAACCCGACGAATATTCTGTTTCTTGGACTTAAATACATGAATAAGTTCTTTTGTTATGCTGGCAAGCATTTTGATGATCGTTGACGATCATCTCAATTTTGTTAAAACTGTTCTAAACACCTTTTATGCATCTCTCATTAGGAATATAAGAAAACGTGTACGTTGAAAATCCTACCTGAATGATAATCGATATTTGTCTGTGTGCAACATGAAAACGTCTTCGATTAGTTAATAATGGTTTCAAAATAAAGACAAACTCTCCTTCTTCAGACTTATCAGTTTCTAGACAATTTCTTCTCAATTGAACGAGAAATTTGATGATTTAGGAAATAAAAGACATAGAATCGATCTTAACTTACGAACATTATTGGATTTGCTTTTATGGGAACAAGTTAAAAGAATGTGTATAACATATCCTAATGATTTAAACATCAGAATAATTGAAATGTAAAAAGGGAATTTTTCCTATTCTAGTTAAAAGCAAATACTTCAAACAATACTTGGAGAAGTTTACTTGTACAAAGAAAAAAACATTGTGCATTAAAATATCATTAAAAAACTAGTTAATCAAGTCAAATCAAATAGTAGAAGTTTTTAAGATCTTAATCATATTTAACAGGTAAGTTGTGAATATATGAAGGCAAAAAAATCAATGATTGTGTTAATTATGTACACGCTCGATTCTTCCCACGGTTTATGCGAGCTTGCAATCATCATAGATAGTGACGAATGAATCATTTGTTAGGTGTAATAGGACACAACTCAATCAAAATATTTTCATACAAAAGTCAGAAGACATTAACTCGTACAAGAAAGCACGATAGTTAAACATTTTTATAGCCGTCAACACTTCTAAATTGATTATAGGTTTAGCATTTATACGTTATAAACTTATAGGAATAGAACTGTGGTTATAATTTGACCTATTTATGAAGTAGAGCTGCACATTGGTTGACTTTTTGCAAATCTTATTTACCTGTTTTTTAATGTTAGTATTATGATACTTATCAATTTTGTTCTTATTGACTATATAGTTATAACAAATAAAAAGTTTCTAGAATTTTCAATGAAAAAATATTCATTAAATCGAGGACAATTTCAATAAAAAAAGACAACATTACCGATTCCAGGTGCTCATTATAACGACATGTTTACATAATAGGAGTGTTCTACTGTAAATAAATTATTTAATAATTGAACAATCGTCGTATGTTGAATAAATAGAACAAGAGAAATATAAAATCAAACATGTCTTTATTTTCTTAAAAGAATATTTTCAATAAATCTCAAAGTATGTCAGCAACAGTTTTATGATAAGGACAAATACAACATTGAGTAACCGGTAAGCTTGCAGTATAAGAAGCGCGCTTGATGGCAGTTGAAATAACCAAGTTTAAAACGAGAAAAAGAAAGCAATTGACTAATGTTAAACTTGAAAATTTGTATCAATGATCACTGTAATTTGATCATACTTTTTTTCACCTATTATAACTATGTTCAATAGATATTCTCAAATATTCATGTCATTCATTTTTAAAGTGTTATGTTTGGAATCAATTCGACCACATCTATTTGGTAGCAATTAATTTTATTTAATGATTTTAAATTTTAATAATAAAAAAAGAAGCTAGAGGCCTATGTGCTGCTTCTTTTTCAAGCGATCTGTTTGATATAGCTCGACCTCTATGAAAGACAGACAGACTGAGACAACCTACTAGCAAATGTCTAGAACTGAGATCAAAAGATCCAGTGACCCGGATTCTGTCGGAATTCGGGTCAGTGGATTCCTGACTACTTTCAGTAGAATTCTGTCGACTTTAAGACGATTCGACAGAAGCCAATGGCTTAGCTTTGTCTTGGGAAGATATATTTTTAAAAGCAAGACAATCTACAGCTGTGATGAAGTCAAGGGGCTTCCTCTCCCGTCTAATAAGACTTTTCAAAAATTTATTTTATTTAGTCGCAGATGGGCGGGTAAATCTCGGTGATTCAAAATGTTGACTCTGATATTGTTTTGAAGAATAATTCTATTTGTTTTTTTCTTTTTAGAACATCAAACTTTCAATATCGAACATGATGAATGATACTCGAAACGACACTTTAGTCAATAGAATAACAATGAATAATGAGTCAAAACCAATTGTTCGTCGTCATCGTCGTCGTTCTATTATCCATGAATTCTGTTTGAATACATCGACTTATGCTTTACCGGGAATTGCTCGTAGTGAAACTCTTCGTAATCGTTTGTTTTGGTCGATTTCATTTCTACTATTTACTGGTATAATGATCTATTTTGTAATTCAGTCAATAATAAGATATTTTGATTATCCAACAACAATCGATGTGTCGTATGATAATGATAGTCAACAATACTTTCCCGCATTTACCTTTTGTAATATCGCAATATTTCGGTTCGATCGATTCATCGAACCTTTTCTGAATTATACAAATTTTCTAAATCTAACAGATACCAACGATACAACAACAATATCTCCATATCAAGCGAATTTAGTTGAAAGTTTTATGCTTCATAAAATTAATAAAGATGTATCATTAGAAGATTATTTCTTTTCCATTATCATCAATGCTTCATTTATGCTTACACAATTTTGAACCATGTTCATCAGTTGATTTCATTTCATTTATTTCACCAAATTTTGGTCTATGTCATACATTTAATGCTAAATCGAAAAATAGTTCAGATAATAGTCTTCGAACTGGAAGTTTTTATGGCGGTGGCGGTACACTCTATTTAGGTCTTTATATCCATAGTTATAAATACCTATTCTATTCGACTGATGGTAAGTAATAAAAAAAAATTCATCGCATTGTATTATGTGTTTTCTCTATTTGAACAGGCACTGGTGTATTAGCTCTTGTTCATGATAATAGATAAGTGCCTGACATCGAATCGAGTGGTATTGAATTAAGACCTGAACGAAGACATAGAATAGGTTATAGCAAAAAGAGAACTAAATTTTTATCTTCATCTTATACTGATTGTACAAATAAAATATCTAATTCATTGAATGCTATGCTTAAAAATTATAATCAACCAGAATACGATTATTCTGAGACTACTTGCATTCAAGTTTGTCTACAAATTTATGTGTAAGTAGACATATAGAAAACAATAAATATAAACATAAAATGAATCATTTTATGTTAAGTTATGAACAATGTGGTTGTGTTAATCCATATCTATGGCATATGCGTTCGATTGTTTTACCAGATACAGATAAGATTATATTTGCACCTGTTTGTGATTATTCGGATAGTAGATATAAGAGAGCATCATATAGACTTTTTTCTTCTGCAACTCTTTTTCAAAATTATCGTTCAAATTGTTTACAAGAATGTTTAATCAATAGCTTTGTTCTTCAAACATCATCCTTAATGTTACAGATCGATTGGGCATTAGATTCGATTAAAAATTGTACTGAAAATTCTGATATATCATTACCTGATAATTGGTCAATAACATGACGTGAACATATTTATGAAAATTATCTTATTGTAAATGTTATACGTGAAAAACATATAATCGAAACGAATACACTAACATCATCACTCAGTTTCGTTGATGTTATTTCAAATATCGAAGGTAACACAAGTCTATGGATTGGAATTAGTTTTTTGTCAATTATGGAATTTATTGAGATGATCTATCGGCTAATTCGATATCAATTAAATTTCATACGAGAATCTATGCAAAGGAAAATTAACGTAATACAATAAGATATATCGTCTATTCTCTCAATTTCGATCAAATATTGAAGAATTCAACTAAAAAACATATTCAGAATACGAAAAGCACACAGTTAAAAGCAGTTATTGCTATTGAACAGAACTTCGACACTTTCAAATGCCATAAAGCAATTATCATTTACTACTGACTTAAGTTAGCAGTTCTTATTTAAAACCTCTGTGCAGTGACTAACGTCTTTTTTTCGATAATAAACGATATGGGTGTGGGTGGGCTACTATTTTCCTTCTGCCGTTGGGCGCACACCTACACCCACGCTCTCATGAATGAAAGCAAAATCAAATACCTACTCAAGTTAGCTGTTAATCAAAAATTCAAAAAATATAGAAAAATAGCATACATACTATAATTTGTAAAATCGAGAAGCTATGTCAAGACGTTTTTATGAATTATCACTTGAAAATCAGTATCTTATGTAGCGCTGTAGTTACTAGCATTATCTAATTAGACAACACAATGACATCTTGTATATTTAACTCAATCACTAGATTCTTTCACTTTCACTCTTGGGACGCTACGAAATATCTAAAAATGAGCATTACTGATAGAAAGAAAGTATGTCAGATACGTACAACATGAAATGCATGTATCAAGCTAGCTATAAATATCTTCATAGCACTGGCTCGATTCCCTTATTTTGACTACAACTCGTGTTAAATAAAGGGTGTTCCATAATAACTGACAATAAATTGTTAATATTATTTTTCACACTTTTTGTTGATCTAGAGAAAATTTTCCTACTGAATATTGCAAGGTAGTTCCGTGGGTAATCAACCAAAAAATCACAATGTATTCAGAAAATTTTCTTTCATATCCAACATTGTAGAATTTTTCTTCGTTGATCATTTTGGTAAAAAAGAACTTTTCAAATTTCATTGAGAAATGACAATGTTATAGTCAAAATATTTGTCGTAAAAACAGAAGATATCAGATTTTTTTGGATAGGAATATCGTATACAATGTTTAATCGAGATTTTTTCATCCTATTCGCCTGCATCTAAGAAACAGACTATAGGGTTTTGTAGATCATAGCTTTCTGCACAAAATCTACTATGTCACATTGCTCCAGAATATAGTCATTTTGATATATGTGAATCGACTTTTACTTACATTTTACAGGGTTCAGTATTTTGTCTATAACATCGTCATTTCTCAATGAAATTCGAAATCATTTTTTACCAAACTAATAAACTAAAAAAGCTCTACAAAGTTTGATATGAAAGAAAATTTTCTGAATACCTTGTGGATTTTTGGTCGAGTACTCAAAGAACTACCTTGCACTACTTTCACAGTAGAAAATATTAAAAAATCATTTTCGAAAATTTGTATATTTCCGTCTTGTCGATGTATTTCACCAATAGTTTTAGCTAGAAAGCTGAAACTTTCAAAAATAAAAGATCTTGATTAAATATATATGCAATAAAAATTTCAGCCCTCTACATCAAGAAAAAGTATGAAGAATATTATTAACAATTTATCGTCAGTTATTATGGAACACCATTTATACATCTTCAATCATATATTTCTCCTCTAGTATACCAAGAAATCATGAAAAGCTTTGAAAAGCAATATTTTTTTTTTGCTTGTCCAAATTTTTTTAGGGAACCCAATTACTGCCCCTTGTAGTACTGAGGCGTCGTCCATGAACATCGATTCAGTTTGATGTCAGATTGAATGCTTATCTGTTTTTTCTTTTCTTTTATTCTTTCAGTTATGATAATAAATTCCCTATATGATGACCTTTTAGTCCGATAACAACAAATCGAGTTCGTCTCATTTTTTTCTTCCCTAGAGCTATTATATTTATGTGCTGTATCGACGTTACACCGGTCGACGAAGTTGTCACGTCGTCGACCAGTGTGACTCTGATGAAACATATATATATAGATAGTCATGTTATTACAATCTGTTATCAAAATACATTCATATCAATGGGTCAACTATTCACTCGAATATCAACGCAAAGATCTGAACAACAAACATCATCAATAAATACGCAAAACAAGTAGATATATTAACTATCATAAAAGTATCAAGTTTTATTTGAATTATTTTTGTTTTTATAGTTTTATTGCAATGCAACTGATTATAATGAAAGGAAAACTTAGTGATCAAGAGATAATATCAAATGAAAGAAAAATTCTTTTAAGTGATAATAACCAAAGTCTTCCTTTATCACCTTCTTCACAAATGTCAAAAAATGTAGAACCTTCGAAAAATATAAATACAACTATTAGTGGTTCTTCACCATCGGTAATATTTTTTCTTTTGACTCAACAAGAACAATAGATTTGAATAAAATGTTTCTTTTTGTTTTCAACAATAATCGAATGTCAATTATGTTGTCAAAGTTTTACAAATAAATATTCTTATCTTAATCACATGATAATTTGTGCTGTTTAGCATTAAGCATCAATTAAAATAGTACGTGCAAAAATGACTTCTTCATTCAAGTCATGAATAATAAATTTTTTGTTTTCCCATATTTATAATCTACTATTTCTTTATTCTAATTATATTATATATCTTGAACGTATATTTTAAGATGCAAATATAATGGAGCTTTGTATACCTTCAATTTAACGAAGTGTTATGTTGAATTTGTATTATCGATTAGGATTGATGGAAATTATTTTCTTGTTATGGTTGTTTTTTCGGCGATAAATTTATTTACTGAATTAATCTATTTATTTTTTGTACGAGAAAGCTCTGTATCATCATTTTTTATAAATCGAGCTATTTCTTTCCAAATTTCGAATAATCTTTTTTCTTTAAAAAATTGAAAATGATCACCTTTGGGTAAATGCAAGTTTGAGCATTTGACAGTTGCCAAAGTTGTGTTGTAAATACATTAAATGCCTGATGTATATAATTCGATTTCATTTATGATGCATTAAATAAGAATGTGCGACTGAAACAAGAAGTATTCATGAAATTTGTTCATTTATACGAAGTGGTTATAGGGCATACATGGCTACAATATAATAAAACTCCAGTACAATCACGTTGAGCTCAGTGTTTAAGAAGATTCCATTCAGTTGGTTTTCATTCATGTATGAGACTATTCCAAAATCATGGGATTCGTTGTTTTGAAATCTCTCTGATCGTGTGATCTTGAGTTATTTTGAATTTGTTACAAAACCAAAGTCAATAGCAACTCTCAGATCATCGTAATCTTTTTGGCGTCTAGTTTAATGTGAAGCTTGAAATAGTGGGTACCTAACCAGATTCAATAGAATTAGAAAGTAAAGAGATTGTAACAGTCACCGATTTTAGATATGTTTCGAGAAAGTCTGACTCGAAAAACAATTTTCCAATGGATACACGAACTAGCTACCTGGAAAATTAGACGTTTTCAGAGAAATAGTTGAATTCTTTTAAAAATTAAATACGTAGTAATGTTGATCACGAGATCATTCGTGTAATCCGTGTTCAGACGTGCACAGTGCCGGTGTGGACGAATGTGGTTCGAGAAAAATTTCCCTTTTTACGACGGATTCTGCATTTCTGCCTCCGAACTGATCACGTGTTTTCCAAGCAGTTCGTACCCTAAGACAATCGTATGTGATTACTGGTAGATTATGTGCTTCACTTAAGTGTTTTGCAAATAGAAAGTAAAACTGACGACGACTACCAGTTGCCTGAGAAAAAACAACAAATGTTGAGTTTGATGATGATGATGACTTTGATTCAAATACTATTACTTCAATTGGATTAGAATCAGCAAAAGTTGGATTAGTTATTGTGGAAGAATATCGTACAGGAGAAATTATAAAAATGTTGTCGAATAATGCGTAAATAATTCATTGAAAATGATTGCTTATGTTGTTCAATTAAATTCAAACACTTCATTCTCAAAGAAAAAAATCATAATTATTTTCTGTCTATATTTCTTTATATGCATGGAATATTATCTTTATCCTTTTACTCAAATCAAATACAAACACTATTCGATTTAAATATAATTCAAAGTTTGCTCTCTTCTGCATAATTAACTCTACTGTAAGAATAGTTCGAAATACTCTTTCTATACACTCTGTGACAACAGAATACTGCTTCACAACAGCAACATCATGGCAATCATGATCTTTTTTTGCCAATCTGCAGAAGAAGCAAAAAACATCAACAAATATTATAAAAAGAGAGTCGTTATTTTCTTTTTTTTAATATTCATTGTTATTTTATATATAATTCGAAAAATACACCATGCAGTCAATAAAAACAATAACAGAGCGAAGTGTAGCACGATGGATGAGAAGCGAACAGATGGTCTCCGATCAATGATTCATATTAATCCGTGTTAAAAATAAAATTCTTTGGAAATGTATGGAAGTGAGCAGAATCCCATCAATTTTTTTTCAACAAACAATATGCGTTTATAATTAGCGCTCAATGTGCCATAAATATACGTTCGAAATACTACAAATCTTGATTTTTGAAAATATAAATGGTCTATCGAATTCTGAGCACAAATTATTCAAAAACATGTTTTCTTGGTGGATTTCTTATGTTTCTTCAAAAGATTATATAAATTATGAAAGGTAAATTTTTGATGCTCAGACTAAACTGACAGAAAAATAGGGTAAGGACTTCATAAACTCATCTTCAATTTGAAGAAATAGAACGAGCAGTATCGAACGGAAAAAAGTCGATAAGAAATTCATGTTTACCTTCGACTGCTGTTCGTTATGTCAGTAATGTGCGCCTCGATGAGTCAAGTACCATTTACAACAGTATTTTTTTTCTGGCTGTAAATATAATTCTCATGTATTGTATAATTCGTTAGAAATGTCAAAATTACATCTGAAATTGTTTTCATTTCTGTACGAGCCCTCTTCTGCCTTATGATTCATACTCTCTCTTCCTGTTGTCTCTTAGATATATTTCATCAACCTATATATAAGGTCGTGGGTGGGTGTGAATATGACCAAAGAACACATCAACCTACACTCACCTCAAACCACATCCACATCCAACTTTTATTTTCGTCACAAAATTCGGTCCTGCTATCCCTCAGAGAAATGTCCAAAAATACATTAGTCTAAAACGTCATCTTGGCTATAAAAAAAACACATTCCCAACTTTCAATATTATCATCAAGGTCATAAGAAAATATACCTAAATAATGCAAACGAGATTTTGGATAAATATATTATTGTTTGACAAATATCCGAGGGAGACCAGGACCTCATTTTTGAACGAAAATAAAAGCCGCCGTATACTTTTGAAAGATACATAGATCTACTCAGTTTGTTATGCTGAAAACGATTCTGGTGTTAGATTTCTTTGCATTTTGAGTAAAAAAAACCGTAATAAGTGGGTTTTGTAGTTAATGTAAAGCGCTGTTAATAATAAAAAATGATAATGTTTGCTATTGTTGTTGAAGAGACCGAAGATCTACACTGGACGTGCCTAATGGTCTAGAGACAGTTTTTCAAGATGTTTGAGAATCATATGTCTATAAAGTCGGAGAGACCAAAGAAAAAAAAACTTGATATTCATAACAGCGTTATAAGGCTACATCATCTACTGGCTAAAGTAAAAAAAATTTTTTTTCTCTTATTGTCTTCATATGAATAGGAGTACTATATCAGGTCAGTCGTGACATCAATTTAGACTCAAAAATATCGAATATTGGCCTTGTTCAAACTTTATATGCGTCTGCGGACAAATAGTTGGTTCTATCACCCAAAATGCTTATCTCAATATGATCTTTCATTTGATATAAGATAGCAAGGGTCCTGAGAAAAAAGTTCACTGGACCGATTTACGACCAAATACGCCTCCTTCTTTCAAGACCACTTCTGAACTATTTTTTCATGACCGTCAAAAACTTATAATGATCAGCAGAGGGTGTGGGTGTGGAAATGAACGAAGGAAAGATCTGAACACACACCCATGCCCACCACACCTACCCATACCTACACCCTAAGACGACATCAAATAGGAGACAAGAATGGAACTGTCGTGCCTGGTGGCAGAGGTGCTGATCTCAATCAAGTCAACGTTCCGACTTTCATCTTTGTCCATCAACAACAGACTGTTTACGCATCAGACTGTGTAAATCATCGTATGATGAAATGGAATCAAAAAGCAAAAGAAGGAATTGCCGTCACTGGGGGTCAAAGCAAAGGGAATGCGCTGACACAATTGTCGTATCCTTACGAACTGTTCGTCAACACGTTGTGTGTTATATATATGGCAGACTTCTTCCATCATCGTATGATGCGTTGGCCTACAGAAGCGAAACAGAGCACTATCATTGTGGGTTGAAATGGTCAAGACGCCGGAGCAAATCAGTTCAAATATTTCTGAAGTTTGCCTTTCGATCAACAAGGCAATCTCTATGTCATCGAGTGGGAGAACCGCCGTGTCCAACGGTTTTCAATGGAACAGACTTGTTTACGATGGATTTTTTCCTGTCCTCTTAAATGAATTCATGTTGAATTGATGAAAGGAATGCTTATTTCATCGGCGCGCGCGGGCGATCAGGAACATCTTGATAGAGCCATGGTGAGCGTACTAATCATATACACACGGGAAGACCTGTGTCATTCACACCATTGTCTGAGAATCTGTTAACAGATCGGATAGAGCCCGGCCGTGTACTACGGATGTCATGATGTTGCTGATTGGAGATAACAAGGATCTCAACTGGGGTGTGACTCACCCACTCACTACTATCTAAGACTGTCTTACATTACTCTGTCTAAGTACCCCTCGGTTATTTCTTCCCCCATTACTTTTCAGAATTTCATTTCAACCTTTTATTACGCACACGGATAAAAAAAGAGCGAACGCAAAAACAATAAACAGAAAAAGATACACACAAACAAAGTTGTATATCATATATAAATACATATATTATTCAAACGTATCCTTTCTCTCGCTGATATATCATGATGTATCAATGTTTCTTTCTTCCGAGAGATGAGTGGAACACGTGGACAGAGAAAGAGAGAAAAAAAGCATCAAACAAAGTATCGAATGGAATAATAACAGAAAGACAGAACATAATACCTAACTAATATATATCATGGTCATTGACTATGACATCCTCACAATCAATCTATCTAATTATACTCACCCCTTCATTTTGCGTATGGGTGTGGATGTTCACATAATCTTCATCCACATCCACACCCTTTAACAAGGTATTGAATTTATTGCAATTGAAATTCAGTATAGTATTATTATTTTCAATGCAGGAATGGGCTTTATATTTTTATTAAGGGCTTCCTTCCAGTGATCCCTGTAACTACTTGGGAGGTATCTAGAGAGGGAAAATT